TTTTTTTTTTATTTTTTTTTTTTTAATTGTTAAAGACCAATATCATGGTTGCTTAATGCTTTATTGTGTTTTTTTGTATGTCTATATTGAGATATTTTTGGTACATTAACAAGTGTACAACTAGCCACACATATAACTTTGATTGCCTATTTAAGTAGTCTGCCTGAAGGTTCTACACTAGTTGCCATACCTATAACCTACTAGGAGATTGCCTATTTAAACTCTTTTATACAATTTTTAATTATTAAAAAGTAAGTATAAAATGCATTTATTAAATGTATTTATCAATTTATATTTATTAATTAATAGAATTAAAAACAAGTTTACAATTAGGAATATAAATACTTATTTATTATTATGTTTAAATTCATTTTATTTGCATTAATTTAGTCAGTGAGTATAAAAAATATTTATTAGTCAAAAAATTAAAAAACTATTATAGTTAAATTTATTTTATTTGTATTAATTTAGTTAGTATGTATAAAAAATATTTATTAGTCAAAGAAATTAAAAACAAGTTTACAAATCAAAAACATAAATACTTATTTACTATTAAGTTTAAATTTATTTTATTTTGCATATGAGTATAAAGAATATTTATTAATTAATAGAATTAAAAACAAGCTCACAAATCAGAAATATAAATATTTATTTACTATTATGTTTAAATTTATTTTATTTATATTAATTTTGTAGGTGAATATGTTGTGCATCAGATGCATTCTTGTGTCAGATTAGATCTGACGCATGTCAGATATCGATTTCTATATGACGCACATCACCTATCAATTGGCTATCTGACGTGTATAAGTTCTAATCTGATGCAAGATCTTCAAAAACTAATATATAATAGTAAAAAAAAAAAAATAAAGCAAGTTTAAATGAAAATGTAATATGTAATAATGTCATCATAAGTAAGACTATAAAAAAATTCTTTTTCTTTAACTTTGTCTTCCTTGCCTTCTTTTTTCTTGGAACTTGGCTTGGTCAATGTTGGCTTTATATCTCTTGTTAGCTTTTGTAGTCAACATTGGCTTTTGCAGTTGACATTGGCTTTCGTATTCGACATTGGCTTTATATCGTATTCGGTATTGGCTTTACATCACATTCGGCATTGGCTTTATATCATATTCAGCAATTTCTCCATATTCAACATTGGCTTAATTCTTTGGTGTTACTTATTCTTGGATTTCAGTAAGTCTTCATTTTGCTGCACTTTGCCACATTGTAATTTTTTTTTTTTTTTTAGCCTTAACAAATAGTTCTGAATTTGTTCTTACTCTTAAGCATTGCAATTTTTTTTTGTGCTACTTTATAATTTTGTTTTTGTTCTTGCTTCATTTAAATGTTTGCTTTTTTCTTTGGCATGCCTATAACTTGATCTTGTTCTACCTTCTTTAAACATTGGCTTTGTTCAAGCATTGGCATTATTCTTTGGTACTGCTTTATATCTTTGGTTTTGTTCTTGCCTCATTTAAGCATTTGCTTTTTTCTTTGGCATGCCTATTGATTTTATTCTTACTTTCTTAAGCATTGGTTTTATTCTTTGGCACTGTTATATAACTCTGGTCTTGTTCCTCTTTCTTAAATATTAATATTATTCTTTGGTGCTGCTTGTTTCCTTTAAGCATTTTTTTTTTTTCTTTAACGTGGCTATAACTTTGATTTTATTCTTATCTTTCTTAAGCGTTGGCTTTTGTTCTTTGATGCTGTTATATAACTTTGGCCTAGTTCTTGCTTTCTTTAAGTGTTGGCTCTGTTCTTTGGTGCTGCTTTACAACTTTGATCTTGTTCTTATAAGGTATGACTATGACGATTGTGCGCAGAGAAAGGATGTATATAAATAGTGAACCAGTATCTATCTAACAATAATGTTTTGCTTTTATCTAATAATTGTGGTCTAGTATCTTCACCCAATAACTGTGGTTTTGTGTCTTTGCCCAATAACTGTGATCTGGTATCTTTACTCAATAACTGTGATCTGGTGTCTTTGCCCAATAACTATGGTTTTGTGTCTTCACTCTGAAACCCCGTGTCTTTACATGGTAATAATGACAGTTATACTGTGCTTTCTTCCAATAACTATAATAATTATTTATGTGTATGCATATGAAAAAAAAATAATAGAATTCATTATAGGAGCATATGAAAAGAAAAAAAAAAAAAGGATTTATTGTGGGTGCATATAAAAAGAAAAAAAATAGAAGCTTATTTTATAAACGTAGAATAAAAGAACAACTACGACAATTGTGTGCGCAGAAGAGGCACATAAATAGTAAACCAGTATCATCATCTAATAATAATATTTTTCTTTTATCTAATAAATGTGGTCTATATCTTTGCCTAATGATTATGGCTTTGTGTCTTTGCTCAATAACTATAATCTGGTATCTTCATTTAATAACCGTGGTCTGGTGTCTTCGCTCAATAACTGTCTTTGCCTAATAACTATAGTTTTGTATCTTCACCCAATAACTGTGATCTGGTTTCTTCGCACAATAAATATGGTCTAGTGCCTTCACCCAATAACTGTAGTCTGCTGTCTTCACCCCAAAACCCAGTGTCTTTACATGGTAATAATGGCAGTTATACTATGCTTTCTTCCAATAACTATAATAATTATTCATATAGATGCATATGAAAAAAAAATAGAATTCATTGTGGGTGCATACAAAATAAAAAAGAATTCAGTGTGAGTGCATATGAAAAGAAAAAAAATAAAAGCTTATCTCACAGACATAGTATTAAATCGATAATTATGATGATTGTACATGAAGAAGGGGCGTATAATAAATATTGAACCGGTATCATCACCTAACAATAATTTTTTGCCTTTGTTTAATAATTGTAGTCTAGTATCTTTGCTCAATAATTATAGTTTTGTGTCTTCGCCAATAACTGTGATATGGTGTCTTTGTCTAATAACCGTGGTATAGTATCTTTGCCCCAAAACTCAGTGTCTTTACATCATAATAATAGTAGTTATACTATACTTTCTTTCAACAATTATAATAATTCACATGGATGCATATGAAAAAAAAAATAGAATTCATTATAAGTACATACGAAAAAAAAAGATTTATTATGGTTGCATACGAAAAAAATATATATATATAAGCTTATCACATGGACGTAGTATTAAAGAGATGACTACAACAATTGTGCATAGGGAAAGAGCGTATAAAAATAGTAAACTAGTATTATTATCTAACAATAATGGTTTGCTTTTGTCTAATAATTGTGGTCTAGTATCTTTGCCTAATAACTGTAGTTTTGTGTCTTTCACAATAACTATAATTTGGTATCTTCGCTCAATAACTGTGATCTGGTGTCTTCGCCCAATAACTATAGTTTTGTGTCTTCACCCCAAAACCCAGTATCCTTACATAGTAATAATGGCAGTTATACTATACTTTCTTCTAATAACTATAATAATTATTCACATGAATGCATATGAAAAAAAAAATAGAATTCATTATGAGTGCATATGAAAAGAAAAAAAAAAAGATTCATTGTGGGTGCATATGAAAGAAAAAAAATAGAAGCTTATCTCACAGACATAATATTAAAGGGACAGCTACGACGATTGTACGTGGAGAAGAGGCATATAATAAATAGTGAACCAGTATCATCATCTAACAATAATGTTTTTCTTTTGTCTAATAAATGTGGTCTATATCTTTGCCCAATGATTATAGCTTTGTGTCTTTGCTCAATAACTGTGATCTGGTGTCTTTGTTTAATAATCATGGTCTGGTGTCTTCGCTCAATAACTGTCTTCGCCCAATAACTATAGTTTTGTGTCTTTACCCAATAACTGTGATCTGGTTTCTTCACCCAATAAATATGATCTAGTGTCTTCACCTAATAACTGTGATCTGGTGTCTTCACCCTGAAACCCAGTGTCTTTACATAGTAATAATGGCAGTTATACTGTACATTCTTCCAATAACTATAATAATTATTCACATGAATGCATTTGAAAAAAAATAAAATTCATTGTGGGTGTATACAAAAAGAAAAAAAAATAGAAGCTTATCTCACTGATGTAGTATTAAAGGATGACTATGACGATTGTATGCAGGGAAAGGTGTATAATAAATAGTGAACCAGTATCATAATATAACAATAATGTTTTTCTTTTGTCTAATAAATGTGGTCTATATCTTCATCCAATGATTATAGCTTTGTGTTTTTACTCAATAACTGTGATATGGTGTCTTCGTTCAATAACTGTGATCTGGTGTCTTCACCCAATAACTATAGTTTTGTGTCTTCGCCTAATAACTATGATTTGGTTTTTTTGCCCAATAAATATGATCTAGTGCCTTCGCCTAATAATTGTAGTCTGGTGTCTTCACCCCAAAACCCAGTGTCTTTACATAGTAATAATGGCAGTTATACTGTGCTTTTTTTCAATAACTATAATAATTATTCACGTGGATGCATATAAAAAAAAAAGTAGAAAAAAAAAAGAATTTATTGTGGGTGTATATAAAAAGAAAAAAAATAGAGGCTTTTCTTACAGACTAGTATTAAAGGGATAACTATGACAATTGTGCACAGGGAAGGGGCACATAATAAATAGTGAACCGGTATCATTATCTAACAATAATAGTTTGTTTTTGTCTAATAAATGTAGTCTATATCTTCACCCAATAATTATAACTTTGTCTTTACTCAATAACTATAATCTGCTAATATAGAATAGTTGTGTGATTAAACTAATTTTACAAAGTTAATTAGATTAATGAATAAGGAGTTGTTAGTATGTATTTTAATATCTGCATAGAGATTTGTAGAGATAAGCATGAAGATTAAAAGTATTATTAAAGTATTTAGATGAGAGGGCCAAAGTTTAGTAATACAGCCAAAGAAGATATGAAGATGTTGAAATAATATTTTGCTACTATTTGAGAATTATTTTCTATATTTTGTTTATTAATTGTTATGTATAGTATTATATCTTTTTTGTCAAAATTAACTTTTGTTAAGGTGTCTCAAAGTGGTATTGGAGGATTAGTAAAAAAGCAAAGAGGTCTTGCTAAGTTTGAGTGAATTTTTTGACTAGAAGATTGATCTGTTTTAGATGAAGTTAAAGCTAGTACCTTTTTGAAATTATCTAGATCAATATGAATCTTTTTTTTACAATCTACTTGAAGATTATAAATTAATATTGTTATATTAAAGTAGCAGTATTTGGATGTGTAAATCTTATTTTTAAGTATGCAGTCATGACAGGTTCTTAGTGTGTTGTTAGGCTGTAGAATATAATATTGAGATTTAAGATTCTTGTTAAAAGGGTTGTAGATTCTTTTAAAGATTATATCTTTAGTAATTATCTAGCTTTTTTTATTCAATATCCAGTTGGATAAAGTGTATAGGTTTGGTTGTGAAAAAGTAAGAGTTGGGTTTATAGATCCAGCTATTAGGTCTTGCATTAAACAGAACCAATAAGAACATAGTTCTTATAGTATTTTTTAATATTGTAATAAAAGGTTTTCTATATTAATAGTTCTGTATTAATTGCATTTAGGAATTGTTTAATACTTGTAATATTATAGTTGTTTAATTTCTTCTTAAGGTATAAGCTCTTGGGTAATTTAGAAGAATTTGATTTATGAATGTACTTTGAAATTTTTTTGGATATGTCTAGTTATCACAATTATATAAGGTCTGTATTCCTATTATATATAGTGCTATAATTATTTGGCATGTTTGTGTATTAATTTGTATTAATAAAAATACTAGAAGTTGTAATAAGATTGAAGTATTGGTAAGTGCTACATCTTGTAGTTGTTGTAATTGCAGCTTTAAAAAGAAGGAGTCAAAATTAGAATGATTTAGGTTTTTTTAGAGTATTGAGACTAATGCTAATATTTGTGCTTGAACTAAGAAGTTAGAAACTCCTCAAGCTAGTTTTGCTTTGTGTTTTACTAATTAAATGCAGGCTCTATTAAAAGAGTTTATTTGTAAAAGAAAAAGGAATGAAGAATATAGCTAATAAAAAAGATGTAGAGTAATAACACTGTTTATAATATAAATTGCTTGTTTTTTTGTAATATTAGCAAATTGTAGCTTTTTTAGATTAATTTTAACTTCAGCTATTATTTTTTTTTGTATTAGTATTAGCTTTTTATTTGTTGAAAACCATACTCTCAGATATTTAAAAGATATTTCATTGTTAATTGCAAACAGTTATTCTTCATCAAAAAGTATTGAATTATCAGGATCTAAAGAGTTTTTAACTAGAGTAAATTTAGAAGAATTGACTTTTATATTGGCAAATTTGTAAAAAAAAGAAACAGTATACAAAATGTTTATAGAAGATGATTTGTTTAGTGCAATTTATAGTGAATTATCTATATATGTTATTACAAAGATATGTATTTTCTTGCTGCTTGAAAGAGAAATCCTACTAAGGAACTCTTGATGTTTTTTATATATTCTTAATATTAATAGATTATAATATATTATCTAGAGAAGAGGAGAGATTGTCTCTCCTTAGTCAATACCATCTTCTACTAAGTAGGATACAATTAGGCCTAAAATACTTTACAGAAACTTGTAAATTTTTGACGATGTTGTTACAATATAGTGACGATGTTATTACAATATAACTACAATTTAGAAAAAATTTTGTGCCGATTTATAATGCAATGATATTTTTACCTTATAGCTATTACATCGTAACTATAGCACAAAAATCTAGTAACGATTTTGTTAAGATTCTATAATGATTTTGATAATAAAATCATTACAATATTACGACAACTTTAATACAACTACACAAAAATCTAGTAACGATTTTATTAAGATTCAATACCAATTTTGATAATAAAATCATTACGATATTACGATGACCTTAATACAATTATGCAAAAATCTAGTAACGATTTTGTTAAGATTCCATAACGATTTTAAAAAATTAAATTGCTACGATATTATGATGATCTTTCTACAGCTACACAAAAATCTAGTAATAATTTTGTTAAGATTCTATAACGATTTTGATAATAAAATCATTACAATATTACGACGATCTTAATACAGCTACACAAAAATCTAGTACCGATTTTGTTAAGATTCCATAATGATTTTGATAAATTAAATTGCTATAATATTACAACAATCTTTCAATAGCTACACAAAAATCTAGTAACGATTTTATTAAGATTCCATACCGATTTTAAAAAATTAAATTGCTACAATATTACAACTATCTTATTACAACTTTTATTAGATCTGGTGAAGATTTAATTGTCAAGTTGCTACTATTACTTTATTACGATTGTTATTTGATTTTATGACAATTTATTTTAAATTAGTGTTGACAAAAATATAGACATGGACAATATGGACCATTGGACATGGATATTTATGGACTATATCCTTTAGGGGTGTTAAGTGGTGTGTCTGGTTCGGTCCTGGTCTGTTCTCCCAAAAGTCTGGTTCAGAACTAGTTGAAAACGAGTTTACTCTCTGTTAAAAAATAGATAAAAACCGGTCCTACTCTAGTGGTTTAAATGTACAGAACAATAGTAAACGAGTATTGTGTTTTAATTGTAATTACATTGAATTCGTTCCAGTATTATAATTGCATTTAGATCGATGTAAATTAGCCAATTAAACGACCTTGAGATCACAAGATTATAGGACTAGTTTTGAACTAGTCCCACTAGTCCCTAAAAAGTCCGGGTTTGGACCTGG